TGTTAAGTCTTCTTACAATTCCTAGTAAGGAGCAGTTTTATTATGAGCTGATCCTCATTCTGTTTATTTATGGAAAAAAAAAACTCATTGCACATGTGAGACTCATTCTAATCAATGGTTTGAAACACTCCTATCTGAAGTTGGCCATAATCCATCATTAATGCAGCAATAATAGAGGTGAAGAGGAGCTGAGGCGGGCCTCAGAGAGTGTTTCTAAATCACTCCTCATCTAGGATTCCTTGCTAGGATCTTTTAAGATAAACTAGAAGCTGTGTTAGAGCATTTTCAGATTATTTTTGGATATGGGCCCAGGGCTTTTGCAGCGTGCCTCTGGTGGAAACTCGAGGAACTGCAGGTTATTGCTGTTCTGAACACCAGAGGGTGCTGCTTGCATTAATTTAAAACACTTGTTGAAGTGAACTCCACAGGGCCCTTTAAAAAGAGAAGAGAACGTCTTAGGAGAGTACCTTGTAACCATCCTTCACATGTCCCCGCAGGGCCAGTTTGATATCTTCCACATGGACTCCATTGTCGGCGTTTTTCTCAAGGCCCATGATGTCGTTGAAAACAATAGAATAGAAGCTCTCTTGATCTTTTTCGATTTTGTATGTTTTGTACTGTGAAGAAGGAGAAATGATTTGCATCGTTCAGTTAATCTAGATAGACATTCCTAAAGCAAAAAAATAATTATTTTTTTATTTAGCGAGATAATCTACATTGATCAAATTATTTTTTATTTTATTTTAAATGTTCTTACTGAAACTAAGCTGCCACAATTTTCTTCAAGTAATTGAGATGAAAGGGCAAAATCTGCCACGTTTTCAGAAACTGCACTCTTCAAGTAGCTAACTTCATTATTTTTTATTATTCTTTATTATATGATGTAGATCAGCAGTCATCAGTTGTTCATACCTTTAGGGTGAAGCTTTTCCCAGAGGTCACATTCGTCAAAGCTCGATCTGTAACAATGCCTCTCAAAACACTGTCAACAGAGTTTATGAAACTGGACTTGCCGGCACCGACCGGTCCATGAAGCAGAATCCTGAGATGTTTGACTTCTTTGTTTCGAGGTTGGTAAGATTTCATGAAGTTGAGATTGTCCTCAGTGCTCCTGTTGGTAGAAGAACATGAGATTCATTACTTCAGTGTTTAAATATTGAATGTTCAACAGGCACATTGTTATTGATGCTCTGCTGAGTGGCAGACCCAACCCAGTTTCATCACCTCACTTCTGTTTACTCACGTCGGCAGAGTCCTCCATGGCTGTCTTAAACAGGCTGAAAGACAAATTCACATGTTAACATACAGTAAGACAACTTCAGACTATTTAAACAATTTAAACAGCATCATGTTTCACTGGATGGTAATATTGGAAGATGGAGATGAGATTTATTTTTGAGACATTTTTTCTCAGGTTGAGAGTATAAACATCATTTGATTTATGGACTTATTTTTTAATTAAATTGTACTTTGCATACAATTGGAAGAGTAACAGTCTGATGATGCACTTTGCCTTTAAGGTTGCTCATGGTTCGGCTGGCGGAGTGATATTGCTTTTAAGACCAGTGAAGTGATGTATCACTGTTGTTGTTATTCAGTCTGGGTGTGTCATGCTATGCTACAGACAGATAATAATGTGTATGAGATAAACAGGAAATGTCCCCGTGCTCCTGCTTACCACACCCAAAGCATATTTAATAAAGTATATTAGTGTATACTTAACGGCAGGACAACCAAGGGTTAAACTTATAATCAACATCACCTCAAGAAACACTGTCACAATATTTGACCAGGAATCATTTTAATATTTGTGCAAAAAGTCTTACGAGAAGGTGGAGGTGTGGGTGGTTTGGATTCTCCTCCTTCCATATCTGTAAAATATAACAGTGGTGTGTTAATGTCTCTGGACTGAGGGAGAAAGCCGGAGTACCCAGAGAGAAACACTTCCCCGGGGAGAACATGCAAACTTCACACAGAGAGGGGCCTGATCAACAGGGATTCAAACCAGGAACCACCGTGTGCTAACCACTGCACCACCATGCAGCCCATTCAATTTATTCATCAGTAAAAACAAATTAAAATAAATAAACAGTTCATGTGAGAGTTGGTTTGTCAAAGTAACGTTTAAATAAATATCAATTCCATGTTCACATCATTCAAGAAAAATAAACAAAGAGGGAAAAGGAAAACTCAGCAGTACAAAGAGTCCTTTATAAAAAAGAGATTTATCATTATAAACATCTTGAAGTCTAAAACAAACTGACGTCAATCAAATGAATAATAAAATCATAGAATGAAGAGAGTCTTACCTTTTCTTGTGATGCTCTGGATGTTCTGGAGTGACTCTGCAAATGTGCAGGCTGGTCCTGCTTTTTTATAGGATAGGGTTTCTTACTTTCACTTTTGTTTTGTTCTTTTGTGTGATTCTGGTAAGCCCACTGACTTCCGAGAAATGGCTGTTCGGATCTTTATTGGCTGTTTTTTTTTGGGGGCTTTTTGTGCCTTTAATGGAGAGATAGGACAGTGTATAGGGTCGGAAATCAGGGAGGGAGAGAGTGGGGAATGACATGCGGGAAAGGAGCCACAAGCTGGATTTGAACCTGGGCCACCCGCTTGGAAGACTTCAGCTTCCATACATGGGGTACGCGCACTAGCCACTGCTCCACCAGCACCTCATCGGCTGTTTTTTTTTTAATGCGCAGGCTGGTCGCCCTTTTTATAGGGTCTCTTACTTTCACTTTTGTTCTTTTGTCTGTTTCTGGTCAGCCCCCTGACTTCCGAGGAATGACTGTGCAGATCTTTATCGGATGTTTTTTTTAAGTGTGCAGGTTCATCAGAATTTGCACAAGATATAATAAAAAGGAAAAATGTATCTTTACTGACTGACTATATCAGTCTTTGCAGATACAGCAGTGATATCTAAATGTTTTTTTCAGTATTTATTTATATTTACTCATTCTACCTTTCCCTCTGTGTTTACCTGTCCTCATCACCTGGCTCTTACATCCAGCTGACCCCACCTGCCCTTCAGTGTCCCCTTCTTCCTCTATACTCATCCACTTGGCCTTTTTCTTTTTTTTAACATGTCTTTATGATTATGCATCCTTCATGTATTTGATGCTTACTCAGTTGTTTCAGCTTTTTGCAGCATGTCTTTTTTTTTTTCTTTGCAATGCCTTTTGGACGTTTCTTTAGTTTCATGCTTCTAAATTCTGCACTTTTAAATTTGCTGCAGGTTTTAATAGCAAGTGCAAATGCTCGTCTGCCAACGTACAGAAGACACAAGGTGCTTGATTCTTTGATTCTTTGATTCTTGAAGTGCTTGATACTTATACAAACAAGTATCTTTTCCTGCTCTTGTTTGGTACAGTGTATACAAACTAAAGTCATCAAAGTAAAAAAAATACAACATTTCTTACTGATAAATGAAGGCTGGAATAATACATTTTATTTTCTGATGATTAATGAATAAGCCATTTATTACAGTAGACATTAACATGGTTAAAAAAAACAAATAAATTGATCCTTTTTGATTTTATGAACGATATGTGTTATCCATAGTTAGACGTGTAAGTCTAAATGTGCTGACATGATTGACAGGTGGGCACGATGTAATGGTTTGTCATAAGGTTAAAACCCGCCTCAGCTCCAGCTCTCAGCCTGTTATTATTTTGACTGAAAGTTAGGTTGAGACAGGATTTCCAGCATGGAGACCGTTATCGATGGGACTCCAAAGCCCCCTGCAGGAACAGATGGCTGACGTCACTCAGGCTTCGTCTATTCATATTTACAGATTATGTTTCAAACCACAGACTGGAAAAAAAACATGGACGTAGTATAAGTGATGTCATCAATTGGACGAGGTGTTTTGAAACTTAAAGATGGCGGTCACAAGATTGAAAATACTGTCTCTCACTAACTTTCAGTCAACATAGAAACAGAGAAAGACAGGGCTTGACATTATAACTGGCCCGCTGGCCCGGATGAATGATTGAGTCCGGGCCAGCTGATTGCACGTTCAGCTGGCCCGCTCGGGGCAGTTCAAATACTACCTTAAAAAAAATAGACAGTAACACGTTCTCAATTTCACAGCGCTTTCCTGTTATACCGGTGTTTTGTCAGTAATTATTTTAAAAACGTTGTGCTAATAACTGCTACAGCATCAACGTATCATAAGTGCTCGTGTGCGCGCTAGTGTGTCATAGTTGAAAGGCAGCCGACGGCTTCACTGCTGTCCCTCCCGTGCTCGCTACTCTCGAATTGTGCACTCGCACACAGATTTTAGCGCAGATTTTCTCTGATAAAAAACACATTTGGTAAAACGGTTTTAAAACCATCAGATCCCGACAAAAGCCGAGCTTAAATCAGCTTTCAAAGGAAAACAATCACAGGAAGAGTTGAGAGTGACAGCAGGGCATGACGAAAACAGAAGGGAGAAAAGTTCCAGCCACTGTGGCAGACAGCCAGAGGAGCTGGAACACGCTGCAGCTACATTTCCCCTTAACGTTAAAGACTAGATCCTGGTAAAGACAAAAGTTATTCACAAAGCATCTTAGCCATTAAGAGAGCCGCATCTTAGCCACACACACACACACACACACGCACGCACACACACACACACACACACACACACACACACACACACACACACACACACACACACACACACACACACACACACACACACACACACACACACACACACACACACACACACACACACACACACACACACACACACACACACACACACACACACACACACACACACTATTTTTATACACATACATCACTCTGTGACAACCATATCTACAATCCCATATCATTTTAGTTGAACTCATTTATTCTTATGGTTTGTAGAAGCTTCAACACTGTCCCTAGTGCTTACCAGGAAAATTGCATGTATTTGTGCTGGTTGCTAAAATTGAATAATGGCACAATATGATAAAAAAAATTGTAAAATCTACAAATTTGAAGTCTGGTCTACAGATTGATTGCCTATAATAACAAAAATGATGTTTCTATGCTGCAATGGCCATAGGTTCAAAAATCGTGATTATAATGGGTTTAGATATGTCTAAAAAGTGGACGAGGGTCATAAGTGTTTTTTGTTCTACAGAACATTATAGGCCTTTTATAACTGAAATTGTTCAAATTATAAAAGTTAAGTAAAAATTCACAGCAGTATTAAATATGAAAACAATAGCACCAAAAATGACAAAAATATCAGTAAAATAAGTTTTGAATTGTCCACAGAATGGACACAGGTAACCAGGTAGTCTTCTCCGAAGGTGACCATCTGTCTCAGTGCGGTCAGAATCGGCCCGTTGATGTCGTCATACGTGTTGATTTCTGACTCGTAGTTCTTCACCAGGAAGATGGACTTGATGGGAATTCCCAGCATTGCACTGAATTGTTCCACCTGTTGGAGTCAAATAATTTCAGATAATCAGGAATTGCAAAGCTCAGACCAAAGGTGGAAATGTGATGAAAAAAAGAACTGAAACTCAACAATAACAAATCTAAACCGGCTCACCTGTCCCTTCAGGTACTTGCTCTTGTGCAAGTTGTGAATATTTGATTCAACCTCAGGACAGGCCCGATCAACTTTGGTGAGGATGGCCAGTTGGGGAATTCCTGCAGATGTGGAAACATTTTCATCTTTTGATTTTCTTGTATTTCATTTGCCTGATATGGAAATGTAAGTGTGTGATATCTGTTCTTACCCAGATCACTGGCAGCTAGTCTGACTTCTCTTAACTTCTGCACGACTTTGTCATCTAACAGAGAGATTGAGTCGACAGGAACCACACAGACCAGCACGTGGACTTTGTCATCCAGAGAGGGGTAGGATTTGTAGCCCGGGTCATTCTTTGTCAGTGAGCCATTAGGTTTGAACTATAAAACAAAAATAGACATTCTAATAGTATTTTTCAATGCACAGAGCCGTGAATGTTTTAGTGAATAAAAAAGCAAATTTGTAATTTAAAAAAAGGGAAACTCAAAGGGTGAGATCTTCTAACCTTTCCTAGTATGGAGCAGTTTTATTATGAGCTGGTCCTCTTTCTGTTTATTTATGTAAAAAAGGGACACATGAAAACAATTCTAATCAATGGTTTGAAACACTCCTCTCTGTAGGTGGCAGTAATTCATTAATGCAGCAACATGAATATAGGATTATGAGGCCCATTGATGGTCCTCGCTGTACTAAAAATTTGGTCTTTAACTTTCAGTCAACCCAAAAGCCCAACTAGGGACACGAGTTGGAAATCAGCAATAGCTGTATTCTCTTGATGCAGCACATCAGTTTCATGCTTTTTATTGAAACTATGTTAAATTGCATTGTCCCTATTAAATAAATGAATTCAAATCAAATCAGCCAAGAGACAGCCATAGAGGTGAAGCTGAGGCGGGCCTTAAGCCTCCTGGCAAACAGCTGCAATGTGCAGGTAAAGAAGAAAAATTCTCAGAATCATGACATTTTCTAAGAATATTCCCTTAATGTGCAGACTAAGGCCTTGTAAATATAAAAGTCATCCACAAAGCATCTTAGGCCTTAAGAGAGCCCATGAGACAGGACAAGACGGGAATACAATGTGCAATAATGACTCACTGCTGCTAACTGTTCGGTACTTACTGTGTGAAATAACTATTTCATTCACTGCTCTACAACTGTTTATTTATTCACTGCAATATAAGTGTTTATTTATTTAACAAAAAAAGAGAAAGTTTTAGGAGTGTACCTTGTAACCCTCTCTCACATGTCCCCGCAGGGCCAGTTTGATATCTTCCACCTGGACTCCATTGTTGAGGTTTGCCTCCAAGCCCATGATGTCATTGAAAACAATAGAATAGAAGCTCTGATCATCTTTTTGAATTTTGTATGTTTGGTACTGTGAAGAAGAAGGAGAAATAATTTGCATCGTTCAGGTAAATCTAAGATAGACATTCCTAAACCAACAAAATAATTTCATTTTTATTCAGTGAGGTTATTCAGTGATAATCTATGTTGATCAAATGTTTTTTATTTTATTTGTAATCTTCTTACTGAAACTGAGCTGCCAAAAAAATATCAATTTCTTCAAGGAATTGAGTTTACAGAGAATGGTGAATAATCTTAGTTTGAAGTCACCACAGTCATCAGTTGTTCATACCTTTAGGGTAAAGCTGCTCCCGGTGTTAGCATCCGTCTCAGCTCGACTTGTAACAATGCCTCTCAAAACACTGTCAACAGAGTTTATGAAACTGGACTTGCCGGCACCAACCGGTCCATGAAGCAGAATCCTGAGATGTTTGACTCCTTTCTTTCGAGGTTGGTAAGATTTCAGAAAGTTGAGATTGTCCTGAGTGCTCCTGTTGGTAGAAGAACATGAGATTCATTACTTCAGTGTTTTAAATATTGAATGTTCAACAGGCACATTGTTATTGATGTTCTGCTGAGTGGCAGAACCACATCCAGTTTCACCACCCTCACTTCCTATTTACTCACGTCGGCAGAGTCCTCCATGGCTCACTGAAAAGAGCTGAAAGACAAATTCACATGTTAACATACAGTAAGACAACTTCAGACTATTTAAACAATTTAAACAGCATCATGTTTCACTGAATGGTAATATTTGAACGAGAATCATTTTAACTACATAAACTAAAATCTTACGAGAAGGTGGGGGTGTGGATGGGCGTGGGGGGTGGGGGTGGGGGTGGGGGTTGACGTGGGACTGGTTTGGAAGGTGGTTGTCCCATATCTGTAAAATATAACAGTGGTGTGTTAATGTGGATGACTTTACCTCGATAAAGGAAGAATATTCAGATCATAAACTCTGTAAAAATAACAACAATGAGGAATACAGCTTTGCAAATGAATGATGAAGTCACTATGTACTGATTTGAGTAAGAGCTCAAGCCCTCAGTGCTCATTATTACTGTTTTAGTGTATTTCCAACATTTTTCCAAACTGTTACCTGTGTGTAAAATACTCATGGCAGTTCAGTTTATGAGTTACAGAAAGTTTCACTGCTTGATAAATGTAGTGGACTAGAAGGTTCATTATTTTCCTCTGGACTGCAGTGGAGTAAACACATGAAGCTGAATACATTTAGATATTCAGATAAAGTATCTCAGAACTTTTATCTGATTTTTAATACATGACCTCAGTATGTGGTGTTAAACAAGTTTATGGAAACATTCAGTAGATCATAGATTTATCTTTAAATTCATCCAGTTCATGTGAGAGTTGGTTTGTCAAAGTAACTTTTAAATAAATATCAATTCCATGTTCACATCATTCAAGAAAAAATAAACAAAGAGGGAAAAGGAAAACTCAGCAGTACAAAGAGTCCTTTATAAAAAAGAGATTTATCATTATAAACATCTTGAAGTCTAAAACAAACTGACGTCAATCAAATTAATAATAAAATCATAGAATGAAGAGAGTCTTACCTTTTCTTGTGATGCTCTGGATGTTCTGGAGTGACTCTGCAAATGTGCAGGCTGGTCCTGCTTTTTTATAGGATAGGGTTTCTTACTTTCACTTTTGTTCTTTTGTCTGTTTCTGGTCAGCCCCCTGATTTCCGAAGAATGACCGTTCAGATCTTTAGTGACTGTTTTTTTTAAGTGTGCAGGTTCATCAGAATTTGCACAAGATATAATAAAAAGGAAAAATGTATCTTTACAGACTGACTATATCAGTCTTTGCAGATACAGTAGTGATAGCTTGATATCTAAATGTTTTTTTCAGTATTTATTTATATTTACTCATTCTACCTTTCCCTCTGTGTTTACCTGTCCTCATCACGCTCTTACATCCAGCTGACCCCACCTGCCCTTCAGTGTCCCCTTCTTCCTCTATACTCATCCAACTTGGCCTTTTTCTTTTTTTAACATGTCTTTATGATTATGCATCCTTCATGTATTTGATGCTTACGCAGTTGTTTCAGCTAAGCCATTTATTAACATGTTTACAGCCGGGTTCAAAAATCCAGGCTGAATCCAAAGGTCAGATAAAAACTGGTTTGTGCCTGTTGCTGCCCTCAACTATGTGTCTCTGTTATACTTCAATCTTTCAAACTGCAACATTAGGCGTGTAGCTGACATGATTGACAGGTGGGCACGATGTAATGGTTTGTCATAAGGTTAAAACCCGCCTCAGCTCCAGCTCTCAGCCTGTTATTATTTTGACTGAAAGTTAGGTTGAGATAGGATTTCCAGCATGGAGACCGTTATCGATGGGACTTCAAAGCCCCCTGCAGGAACAGATGGCTGACGTCACTCAGGCTTCCTCCATTCATATTTACAGATTATGTTTCAAACCACAGACTGGGAAAAAAACATGGACGTAGCATAAGTGATGTCATCAATTGGACGAGGTGTTTTGAAACTTAAAGATGGCAGTCACAATATTGAAAATACTGTCTCTCACTAACTTTCAGTCAACATAGAAACAGAGAAAGAGCTGGAGCTGAGGCGGATGAAGCTTCCGAACAAACACAGGCATGTATGCATCAGCAGGGTGCAGGTCTACATGTAACTTAGGTAGTCTTCTTCGTAAATCACCATCTGTCTCAGTGTGTCTTAGTTTGTTTCTTCACCAGAAAGTATGGTTGATTCATTTTACTTATTTCAATTCTTTGTTTATTTGTATCATGACAGCTGACAAGTATTGAGCCGTAAGTAAGCCGTTGCCACACACTTCAGCATTTATAGACTAAACAACCTTGCAATGCCCTTATGAAGTAAATATTCTGACATGTTTTATGGAGGAAAAGTTTCACCAACATATTGCTGTTCTCTGAACTCCCTGACTTGCAAAATTCTAACAACCCCCCTTTAAGTTTTGGTTGTGCACACCAAGTCATGTTAACTCATAATGAATACAGATGTCTTATCTGAAAATGTGATGGCACTGTGTGAAAACATTATCTGATTGTTCTTAGCAACACTTGACAACAATTGTTAATCTTTAGTATAGTACCAATCTGGTTTTGTGCAACGTGTCAAAGATATTGTGACTCCACCACAGTTTTTACAACGGGTTTGAGATAAAGGAATATAGTCAGACAGAAGCTGAAAGTTGTAAATGATAAGCCTAGGTTTTGTTTACTTCTATCTAAACCTAAAAGTAAAAATTGATCATTGGTAGGTCTATAGATCAACAACTTTGTTACTTTTAATAAAGACCATCAGATCCACAACTTCTGGGGCGCTGGTGGTGCAGTGGTTAGTGCGCGCTCCATGTATGGAAGCTGTAGTCTTCCAAGCGGGCGGCCCAGGTTCAAATCCAACCTGTGGCTCCTTTCCCGCATGTGTCGTGGATTTTTCTGTTTGATGAATAAAAGGTCTCAAGGCAAGCCGTTTGTCCTGTATTACAGCTACACAGACCTAAATGAAGAATTACCCTATAAGCTGGTAGAGAGATGTAAATGGCATATCCACAAAATTACCAAGATGAATAAATTCATTACGTATAGCTGCATTTTGCCAATTCATTGTTAATTGTGCCATTTTCTCTCTCGACTGCTCCTGCACTCTGTGGATGATAAATCAATTATGATGATAATATCAGAGTAGTTTCAAGTCTTCCCTTGTGAATGCTGGACCATGTCACTGCAGAGGTTGCATGGATTATCCCACTTTATTGGATCTGCTCTGCTTACACTGTGATGTGTCTGCATCTCCGTTTCATACGAGATTTGAGGTCCAATTATTTTGAAACCCATTTTGTGCTGCAGAATTCATAACGATCATTAATCATTCTTACATAACCATCAAATGTGCAAAGGTGAAATTTGAAACGTTGTATCGAGGACAGACAGGATGTCAAAGGGGGGTTCATGTCCAACCATCGGAGGTTTAACGAGTCTGACCACTTCATCAAGAACACTGATAACAAAAAGGACAATAAAGTGTGAAAAATGAACACTCCGGATGTTTCTTTGTAGTTCAGTCAGGAATACTCTTGTCATAGATGTAACCTTATCTTCCACTTGTGGTTTGTACAGTTGTATTTGCTGGTATTGGTTCTGCTCTTAGCTCTCAGTAGTATCAGTGCAGCATGCCACAGAGTTTGCTGAGAGCGCAAACCTTTAATTCCCCCCATTGGGACATGCAGAACAGAACCTGAATGTGCATGTAATTATCCTGACATTTTGCAGACATAACAGGCAAACAACTCATCCTAGAATATAAAGTGTGCTGACTGAAGCTGGTGGAGGTTAGGGTAGTGGAGGGAGAATTTCACAGCAGTGTCTAGCAGCAGAGTGGATGTGATGCAGGAGGAGTGAGAGGCAGAATGGTTTAAATCAGGGATGTCAAAGTTCTATTGGGCTGGGGGCCGAATTTGTTCAAATGAGACCTCAAGTGGGCCAGACTAATTTTGCAGACATCACAATAACTTGACACATGGATATAAAGGCTAATGTATGATTTAAAAAAAACGAGAAAAAAAAACGCATAAAATGTAAAAGTACATTAAGCAGAGGGGTTAACTCTGTCATTGCAAACTGCATGTTGGCACATGGAAATATTTAAATGTACCACATTACAGAAGAAAACATCAATAATTATGTTTTGTTTGAGATTATTATATTATGTTTTAATATGAGATGAGATGAGATGAGATTCAACTTTATCGTCATTACACATATACAAGAATAGAGTAACAAAATTAGGTTTGGCATCTCACCAGTGTGCAATAAGCAGAAAGTGCAAAAATCTGTGCTATGTACAAGTGATTACAAAATTTACAGATGTAGACTAAAAAAAAGTGAATTATTGGGTATATATGGCTGGATTAATGGGATGCTATAAATATAAATAAATGCTATAAATATAAGTATATTCTTCAGATTATAATATACAGATTAAGGTGCAGTGAGCATGCTATACTAGATTACAGATAATATACAGAATATGGACATATTGTACAGGTCGATAACTTATTGAGGTGATATGAACATACTATAATACAATAATACAGGTGGATGAGAGATGTGTGTGTATGACCAGGAGGACTGGTGGGGGGATGATGGTTGTGAGGTGATGTGCAGGGGAAGGGGGGTCAGCGGGGGGCGGAGTTCGGGAGGGAGACAGAGTTCAGAGTTCGGGGGTCAGAGTTCAGTAGAGAGACAGCTCTGGGGAAAAAGCTGTTCCTCAGTCTGCTGGTTCTGGTCCGGAGGCTTCTGAAGCGCCTACCGGAGGGCAGGAGGGCAAACAGTCTGTGGGCAGGGTGGGAGGAGTCTTTGCTGTTCAAGGTTATACAAACTTTGACACAGGTTATTCTACCTGCCCTGGGATCAGTGCATTACTAGAGAGAGAGAGATACTTTAGATCTGTGTGTGTCAGGCCACAGCACAGTTTGCACTCGTTAAGCTTCATTACAGATAGAACCTGCACGTTTTTCAACAAAGTAAACTCAGTTAAACGACCTTTGATACGAGTCTGGCAGTCCGTTCTTCTACGTGTCCGCAATATCATAATCTAACTCTTGTCACTGACTTTTTATGCGCCAGGAATCTGTGCCATCCCTGTGCGCAATTCGAGGAAGCATTTTAGCGCTGCTCCACGGTTAAACCAGCAGACCTCTGTATGATCGGACAGCCTGTGCGTGATATTGTTTTCAGATAAGAATGAAATGTTCAGTAATAGTTATATTTTTACAGTCTGATGAAAGCTACAGCAAGCTACTGCATTTAGAAGTGATGTCGCACTGAAACTATTAGGTGATCAACACAACACGTTCACCTCTGGGTGACCTAAAAATGAACCATCTGTAATTAAAATCAGTTATTATTCATTTTAATTTACTGTTTTTACAATAACCAGAGGTAAAACTAGTCGGGAGATGCATCAGGCTCAACGCCGGTGTCCACAACCTACACTTAGTCTGGATGTGAGGAGACGGTCTGGGCCTTTACGCAGGACGGAGATGATTGTTTTTTATTTGCACGAGCTGCTCTTTGTGGCTCACTCCATAGGAAGCTTTGTTATCTCTCACATGTCCCGCAGGGCCAGTTTGATATCTTCCACATGGACTCCATTGTTGGCGTTATTCTCAAGGCCCATGATGTCATTGAAAACAATAGAATAGAAGCTCTCTTGATCTTTTTTCGATTTTGTATGTTTTGTACTGTGAAGAAGGAGAAATAATTTGCATCGTTCAGGTTGATCAAAATTGACATTCCTAAAGCAACAAAATAATTATTTCATTTTATTTAGCGAGATAATCTACATTGATCAAATTATTATTTATTTTATTTTAAATGTTCTTACTGAAACTAAGCTGCCACAAAATCATAATGTTTTTCAAGTAAATGAGATGAAAGGGCAAAATCTGCCACGTTTTCAGAAACTGCACTCTTCAAGTAGCTAACTTCATTATTTTTTATTATTCTTTATTATATGATGTAGATCAGCAGTCATCAGTTGTTCATACCTTTAGGGTGAAGCTTTTCCCAGAGGTCGCATCCGTCTCAGCTCGATCTGTAACAATGCCTCTCAAAGCACTGTCAACAGAGTTCACGAAACTGGACATCCTGAGATGTTTGACTTCTTTGTTTCGAGGTTGGTAAGATTTCAGAAAGTTGAGATTGTCCTCAGTGCTACTGTTGGTAGAAGAACATGAGATTCATTACTTCAGTGTTTTAAATATTGAACGTTCAACAGGCACATTGTGCACACACCTACGGGCAATTTAGAGTCAGCAGTTAACCTAACGAGCATATCTCTGGACTGAGGGAGAAAGCCGGAGTACCCAGAGAGAAACACTTCCCCGAGGAGAACATGCAAACTCCACACAGAGAGGGGCCTGATCAACAGGGATTCAAACCAGGAACCACCGTGTGCTAACCACTGCACAACCATGCAGCCCATTAAAATTATTCATCAGTAAAAAAAAATAAACAGTTCATGTGAGAGTTGGTTTGTCAAAGTAACTTTTAAATAAATATCAATTCCATGTTCACATCATTCAAGAAAAAAAAAAAAGAGGGAAAAGGAAAACTCAGCAGTACAAGGAGTCCTTTATAAAAAAGAGATTCATCATTATAAACATCTTGAAGTCTAAAACAAACTGACGTCAATCAAATGAATAATAAAATCATAGAATGAAGAGAGTCTTACCTTTTCTTGTGATGCTCTGGATGTTCTGGAGTGACTCTGCAAATGTGCAGGCTGGTCCAGCTTTTTATAGGATAGGGTTTCTTACTTTCACTTTTGTTCTTTTGTCTGTTTCTGGTAAGCCCCGACTTCCGAGGAATGACTGTGCAGATCTTTATCGGATGTTTTTTTAAATGTGCAGGTCCATCAGAATTTGCACAAGATATAATAAAAAGGAAAAATGTATCTTTACTGACTGACTATATCAGTCTTTGCAGATACAGCAGTGATAGCTTGATAGCTAAATGTTTTTTTCAGTATTTATTTATATTTACTCATTCTACCTTTCCCTCTGTGTTTACCTGTCCTCATCACGCTCTTACATCCAGCTTACCCCACCTGCCCTTCAGTGTCCCCTTCTTCCTCTATACATGTCTTTTTTTTCTTCTTTGCAATGCCTTTTGGACGTTTCTTTCTACTTTTAAATTTGCATCATTTTTAAATTTGCTGCAGGTTTTAATAGCAAGTGCAAATGCTCGTCTGCCAACGTACAGAAGACACAAGGTGCTTGATTCTTTGATTCTTTGAGTCTTGAAGTGCTTGATACCTACAAAAAAGTATCTTTTCCTGTTTTTGTTTGGTACAGTGTATACAAACTAGCTGGAGCTGAGGCGGGTTTTAACCTCATGACAAACCGTTACATCATGCCCACATGTCAATCATGTCAGCTACACGCCTAACTATGGATAACACATATCGTTCATAAAATTAAAATGGATCAATTTATTCATTTTTCTTCATGTTAATGTCTACTGTAATAAATGGGTTATTCATTAATCAATCATCAGAAAGTATACTGTAATATTCCAGCCTTCATTTATCAGTAAGAAATGTTGTATTTATTTTACTTTGATGACAGCCTGTTACTTTTTTGACTGAAAGTTAGGCTGAGACAGGATTTCCAGCATTGAGACCGCCATCGATGGGACTCCAAAGCCCCCTGCAGGACAGATGGCTGACATCACTCAGGCTTCGTTCATTTATATTTACAGATTATGTTTCAAACCACAGACTGGGAAAAATACATGGACGTAGTATAAGTGATGTCATCAATTGGACAAGGTGTTTTGAAACTTACAGATGGCGGTCACAATATTGAAAATACTGTCTCGAACTAACTTTCAGTCAACATAGAAACAGGGAAAGACAGGGCTTGACATCATAACTGGCCTGGATGAATGATTGATAGAGTCCGGGCCAGCTGATCGCACGTTCAGCTGGCCCGCTCGGGCCAGTTAAAATACTGCCTGAAAAAAATAGACAGGAAATTTACACAAAATGACCGTGGTCTAGAAACGCTTACGTGCGATCAAATAAGCAGTGAGTACAGTATGTTATTCTTCTTTTCTCTAGTCCCTCAATTTAACAACTTTTATATGCGAGAGGAGGAGTCAGCCTGCCGTCCTGGCGATGTAAACAAAGTGAAGATAGGACTCGGAAACCTGGGAAAACATCTCATATTCTTCCTTTAAAGACGACCTAACCATTTCCTGAGAAGGGTGTGGTGTTCAAGGTTTTTTTTTATCAATCAATCAATCAAACTTTATTTATATAGCACCTTTCAGACAAATTAAATTGCAGCTCAAAGTGCTTAACAAGAGTACAGAAAAGTTGTTGACAAAAAGTAGAGACTAATGCACACCAATAAGAATTAAAAAAATATGTATAAAAATAAAATAAAATAAAATATGACACATAAAAGCAACATGACATTAAAATAAATACATGAGAGGAAAATATTTATATATATTATATAAAACTGTCGTAGGATAAAAAAGACAATACAGTAATGTTAAGATTTGAATTGATATAAAACACTATATAAAAGCCAGACTAAATAACCCTCAGGAAGGTTGTTCCACAGTCTCGAAGCGTAACAGCTGAAAGAAGCATCGCCAAAGGTTTTTGTCCTGCTCTGTGGAACAACTAAGAGAGAGGAACTGGAGGATCTGAGGGGCTGTACTGGTTCATAAACTAAAATCATATCTGATAGGTAGTCTGGTGCAAGGCCATGTAATGCTTTATAAACTAATAAAATCAACACGAAAACTAACAGGCAGCCAGTGTAAAGATTTTAAAACAGGTGTGATGTGTGCTCTCCTTCTGGTCTTTAGCAGTACTCGTGCGGCAGAGTTTTGTAGTAGCTGTAGCCGATTTGTTGTGTTTTTAGGAAGACCAGAAAGGAGAGCGTTACAATAGTCCAGCCTGCTGGTAATAAAAGCGTGCATTAGTCTCTCTGTTTGGCTCAGAGAGAGAAATGGCCTCACTTTGGCGATGTTTTTCAGGTGGTAAAATTTTGTTTTTGTGACACCCTTCACATGGACCTTAAAATTAAAATTTGAGTCAAAGATCACCCCAAGATTCCTTGCTTCTTGACTTGAGTTGAGTCCTATTTTTTGTAATTTGGGGGCCAGTTTCTCTCTCTGGGCCTTTGAACCGATGATTAAAACCTCTGTTTTGTCCTGGTTGAGCGGCAAAAATTCTGTGACATCCAGGCTTTTATATCTAAAATACAATTAAAAAGTGAGTCAATTTGTCTGGTGTCATCAGGAGACACGGCCACATAGAGCTGAGTGTCATCAGCATAGCTGTGGAAAAAGATTCTGTGCCTCCTGATGACACCACCCAGGGGTAACATGTACAAATTAAAAAGTAGTGGTCCTAAAATTGATCTTTGTGGTACCCCACTGGAGACTTTGTATTGTTTGGAGGTGCAGTCTTCTATCGCTACAAAACATTTTCTGTTACACAAATACAAGGTGAACCAGTTAAAAACATTTCCGGAAAGGCCTCCATGCTCACTTAGTCTATCTAAAAGAATCTGGTGGTCAACAGTATCGAAAGCAGCACTGAGGTCGAGTAGTACCAGAACAGAAGGCTTGTTGTTGTCGAGGTTTTTTCTGATATCATTAACTACTTTTAGCAGGGCCGTCTCAGTGCTGTGGCGTGCCCTAAAGCCAGATTGAAACATTTCTAATGTAGTGTTTGAGGTTAAAAAGACACTCAACTGATTAAAAACTAACTTCTCTAAAGTTTTGCTTAAAAATGGCAGGTTTGAGATGGGTCTAAAATTACTAGGTGTTAAAATATCCAGGTTCCCTTTTTTTAAGAGGTTTAATTAAGGCAGCCTTAAAATCGGTAGGGACGACACCTAGCTGTAAGGAGTGATTTACTATGTTGAGGACATCTTCTGATACTGAATTAAAAATGGTTTTAAAAAGGGGTGTTGGAATTGGGTCAAGGGAACACGTGGATGACTTAATTTCTGTTACCACTGTTCTGAGTGTTGCAGCATCAACCAGGGCAAAACTTTCCAACTTGACATCACTGATTGTACATGATACTGGAAAAAGTGCTTGCTTTGCTGACAGATACCAGACCTAATGTCAACTATTTTATCCCTGAAGTAGCCAGCAAAAAACTCACATTTAGATCCTTAGAGCACTGAGCTGTTATTGGTTGTGGGGTGTAACAGAGAATCTATTGTCCTGAAAAGATGTCTGGGGTTGTGAATGTTGCTGTTTATCAGGTTTGAGAAATATTCTTGCCTTGATTTTCGGATCGCTTTGTTGTAGTCTTTTATTGCTTCTACTAGTATATTTTTATAAATTTCTATTTTTGTTTTTCGCCATCTGCGTTCAGCAATTCTGCAGTCTCTCTTAAGTGCATTGGTCGCATTGTTTTTCCATGGAACAACCTTTTTTGTATTTACTGTCTTAGTTGTGATTGGAGCAAGCATTAAACACTGTCCTCAGTTTATAATTAAAATCGGTAACAAGTTGTTCACAGGATGATGGTAAGGTGGTATTTCTGTAAGCTGTAAGATGTGATCTAAGAGTTGTGGCTACTTCAGGGGTAATGTGCCCTTTGTTAACTGTACGTTCTATTGCATCTGGAGGAGAGTGATCAAAACTGTTAAAAAACACACAATGATGGTCAGACAGAGCCAGGTCAGTGATGGATGAAATATTAATGTTTAGGCCATATGATATAATCAGATCGAGGTGTGTCCATGTTTGTGAGTCGGTGTATTGACGTGCTGTTTAAAACCCATACATTCTAATAATTCTAACAACTCTTTGGCTCTGGTATCTGCCAGACTGTCAACATTTACATTAAAGTCATCAATTAAAATACAAGCATCATAACTCAGATCAGAAAACTCTGTTAGGAAAGAGGAGAAAACTAAGTTGGGGCTCTGTATACTGTCACTGCCAGAATATGTGGCTTACATTTTAAAAGTGTTGGATTGTAGAGAATTTATGTTTATGGGAACTTTTACCAGATTATTGAAGATTGGACCCTTTGTAGTTCTATTGAAGAAGTGACGGGTGGAGATGATGGTTTTAATAAAATCAAGAGCGGTAGAAGGGGTAAGAGGTCATGGAGAGATACAATGCACTATATTTTGGGCGAGCATCTGAGAGCCCTGTGGTTTGGATGAAGTCCATCACGTTTGAAAAACGCTGGACGGCCCAGAAAACATTGAAATTGATAAAAGGTGACCTTAACCTTATCACAGATGGATTTTATCCATAAGTTGAGCGAAAACAGGCGACTGAATTTTTCAATGCCTCTTTTGCGAGTTGGAAGAGGTCCTGATATAGCAATAATCAAAGTTTTGAAATGTTCCTTTAATATTTCGGACTCCCGGTGAGATGTGTCGTTGCTGCCGATGTGTGCCACCACAGTACTCACGTTACAGTGCTTTCCAAGCACGGCTGGAAGGGTGTTGAGGTCTAACACTCGGGCTCCAGGGAAGCAGTGGACCGCTGCAGTGGTTCCGTGGGAGGTGAGCGAGAGCCCCCGGACGATGGAATCCCAATCACCACAGTGGAAGCAGGCGATGGTGAAAGTGAAGAGGTGGGTGCTGCTGAGTGACGCCGGTCGGGGATGAGTCTGAGCTCAGAACCATAAAACGGTTTTCCAGCCTGAGCTCCGGACGAGATGGTAGGGGACGGAGGATTTCCGTCCGTCCTCCTCGCCGTCCTCTGTCACCCACCCACTTCCATGGGTGTTCCCGGGGCACGGAGTGGAGCAAGAGCCGGCTGTGCATCCCTTTGGCAGGTGCAGCCACGTCTGTGGTCAGCGGAGGAAAGTGCTCCTCCGAGAGAATTTCCATACATGGCTCTTGAACCGGTAGAGTCGTTGCAAAGAGAGCAGAGTTTTGTGTTCCCAAACTGGCTGATCCGATTAAAACCGTAGCATTAAAGTGTCCTGAAGTTTTGATGTCTCTTTTAAAA